GCGCTGGCTTTCGCGTCCCGCCTGAGGGGCGGCGGGTTGGGGCGCCATGGACTACGCGTGGGACAGCTTCAGCAACAGCCTGTCCGGTGAGTGGCCCGGGGACACCTCCCGCCATTGCGGCCCCCTGCACGGGCCCCGCCCCGTCCCCTCCCCCTCCTGCGCTCCGAGCTCGCGGCGGTGCTCTCCTGACTTCATCTCCCCCCACCTCTGTTCCTCTTTCACCGGCTCCCCCGCCCCCGACTTGTCTTCCTCCACCTTGACCTCACTTCCTCCCCGTGACCTCACCCCCATCTCACCTCCTCCCCCACCTCTCCTCCTCCTAAGCACGCTGATGTCCTTCCTTCCCTGGGCTCACCAGGCCCCACGCCCACCCGAACCCCAGCCTGCCTGCAGTCCCAGCTGCCCTGTAACCCTCTCGTAAGTGAGCCGCTGTCCAGCTCATCTCACTTCTCTGCTTTCATCTCCTAATTTAATTCAACAGAGACAATTTTACACTTTGAGGAAAGAAATGAGAGGCCGTAGGGTCAGGAAATCCAAGAAAAAGAACTGATTATTTTGTGAAAGTTGGAGACAGTGATGAGGTCTAACTCATATATTACTTTCCTAAAATGAGAGGAACCTAACATAGTGGCAGGTGTAAACTTTTTTTTTTTAACTTGCCCATTAGCTGTTGTAAACCTTTGACTGCTTCCTAGGAAGTAAGATAGTTTTATTCAGGTCCTCAGAATGCAAACTGGCATGTGTTCTATGAGCTATTTTTACTATATTTTCCTCCTTATAGGTTCCAGCACACCAAAAATTTAAGCTGTAATTGCAGATGGCTCAGAGAATCCCAACTCAAATGAACAAATAACTAGCAGTGCAGCCAGTTGATTTCATTAAAGCAGAATTTCATTGTTAATTGAAATTTTCTTTCAACAATACTCTTAATTTAAGTCTCACTGAGACTTGACAGTTTGAAGGATGAGCCACCCCTCGTGTCATTGAAGATGTGATTTTATAAGCTTAAGAAAGAAAGAAAAAATTTTTGTTGGTAAGCTCCAGGAATTTCATTTGTACAAAGATTTGAAATAGAAATGTATATTTTTCAGGTCTTAAATTTCCTTTAAAAAAATCCTGAAATCTATTGATAATTTATTACTGTTTTTATCTTGGCAAATTTAGGGGAACAAAAATCTTTGCAGCATTATCAAAAGTATTTTCTTATGAACTTTCTATGTGGTGACAAACCCAAATGTTACATTTGTTATGATTCTTACAATTTAAGCTCACAGCTGTGTATTATTTATTCACATACTTAAAAGCAAAAATTATAAAATTGTATTACATTAATTCTTTATTTGTGTGGGATGTTATGTCTATTTTTTATTGTTGAATTGCTTGATTTGAGGGAGTCTATATCTTTTGTTCATTTTCAGAAAATTAGAAAACATGTGAGAATTCATTTAATAACTTGCTTTAGTAGAGGCTGTCCTCATAACAAGTCGGGCTCCACTGAATTATAATTGCTGTTGCATGAAATTACTTTTCTCTTAATATTGTTTACAATTATACTCTTTCTTGACTTTTTTTCTTTCACAGAAGAGTTCCAGTCCGAAATGCATATGTGATACATTTTGACATTCACTGCTAAGATGAAATGCAGAAATGAACACCACACACTCATTTTAGTATTCTGAGGTATGATTAGATGTACTTTATCATGTTTTTATGCTGCTGACCTATAAGGGGGAAAAAAAACAATAATAGGGTAACAGTTAAGTAACACCTAGGACCCGCAGCCTCAGTACTTCTGGAGTGACCTGAAACATCACAAGGAGGGTTTTATTACAGCATATTCACACCTCATCTGAGCCCTCAGCCTGGGCTCATACACGTTTCCTTCATCAGAAGTTGTAACCAGGCACTTTACCTCCCAAGATGGCCAACAGTCTCCCAACAGAGTTTGATGTGGTTGTAATAGGGACAGGTCTGCCCGAATCCATCCTTGCAGCTGCATGTTCCAGAAGTGGTCAGAGGGTTCTGCATCTTGACTCAAGAAGTTACTATGGAGGAAACTGGGCTAGTTTCAGCTTTTCAGGATTGCTCTCCTGGTTGAAGGAGTATCAGCAGAACAGTGACATTGGGGAAGAAGGTAGCACCGCATGGCAAGACCTGGTCTATGAAACAGAAGAAGCCATCACTCTTTGCAGGAAGGATGAAACCATTCAACACACAGAAGTTTTCTGTTATGCCAGTCAAGATGTGAATGATAACGTTGAAGAGACTGATGTTCTGCAGAAAAGTCCTTCCTGGGTCGCATCTAGTACCCTCATTAAACCTCTGGATTCTGCGTGCTTATCTGAAGAAACACATCCGTTATATGTGAGTAGCTATGAAATGCCTGCCAAAGACACTACAAAAAACAATGGAGAAGTAACTGATGCAGCAGAAACCCTGGTGAAAGAATATTGTAGATATAAAACTTATAAACACACAGTTTCAGATGGAGCTAAAGACGAAACCAGACCTATCTTGGAAGACAACAGTGATCCACCAAAGAGAAATAGGATTACTTACTCTCAAATAGTTAAAGAAGGCAGGAAGTTTAATATTGATTTGGTGTCAAAGCTGCTTTATTCTCAAGGATTGCTAGTTGATCTTTTAATCAAATCAAATGTTAGTCGTTATGCAGAATTTAAAAATGTCACTAGGATTCTTGCATTTCGAGAAGGAAAAGTAGAACAGGTGCCTTGTTCCAGAGCAGATATCTTTAATAGCAAAGAGCTCACAATGGTTGAAAAGAGGATGCTAATGAAATTTCTTACATTTTGTTTAGACTATGAACAACATCCTGATGAATACCAAGCTTTTGTGCAGTCCTCATTTTCAGAATACTTAAAAACCAAAAAATTAACCCCCAACCTCCAGCATTTTGTACTACATTCAATTGCAATGATGTCGGAGTCACCTTGCACTACAATAGATGGCCTTAAAGCAACAAAGAACTTTCTTCAGTGTCTTGGACGGTTTGGCAACACTCCCTTTTTACTTCCCTTGTATGGCCAAGGCGAAATTCCCCAGTGTTTCTGCAGAATGTGTGCAGTCTTTGGTGGAGTCTATTGTCTTCGCCATAAAGTACAATGCCTTGTAGTTGACAAAGAATCTGGAAGATGTAAAGCAATTATAGATCACTTTGGTCGAAGAATAAGTGCTAAATATTTCATTGTGGAGGATAGTTACCTTTCTGAGGAAACATGCTTAAATGTGCAGTACAAGCAGATCTCCAGGGCAGTGCTCATTACGGACCAGTCTGTACTAAAGGCAGAGTCAGATCAGCAGATTTCCGTTTTGATAGTGCCTCCAGTGGAACCAGGAGCATGTGCTATTCGCATCACTGAACTGTGTTCTTCAACCATGACATGCATGAAAGACACCTATCTGGTACATCTGACCTGTTCATCTTCTAAAACAGCAAGAGAAGACTTAGAATCAGTGGTGAAGAAATTATTTACCCCATATGCTGAAACAGAGATAGACAAGGAAGAACTTAAAAAGCCAGGACTCTTGTGGGCTCTTTATTTTAATATGAGAGATTCCTCAGGAGTCAGCAGAAGCTCATATAATGGCTTGCCTTCCAATGTTTATGTCTGCACTGGGCCTGACTGTGGACTAGGAAGTGAGCATGCAGTCAAGCAAGCTGAAACACTGTTCCGGGAGATCTTTCCAAGTGAGGAATTCTGCCCACCACCTCCAAATCCAGAAGACATTTTCTTTGAGGGTGATGACAAGCAGCCAGAGCCTTCTGGAACCAGTAACATAGTGATGGCCAAACTAGAATCCTCTGAGGGAAGCAAAAACCTACAAAGCCCAGGAAAGCACCTTCAAAATTAGAAAAAAAGCAAACTGGAAGTGCTATTTTGGACCTTCATCCTGGCATCAGAATATTCTTACTTAAAGGACAATTTCCTATATGAGTGATTATATAATGAATGCTATGCAGATGTTGTCTATAATTCTCCTTGAGACATTGTCATTGGATGTCTTTGTAAACCTGTCAATAATCGATTTATTGGTTATTGGACTACTTTGTTTCCGAATGGGCTCCATGACTCAGAACCTTAAACAGGACTAGCTTTATTTTAGCACTGGATGTGTATGTGAGGATTCCATAATAGCAGTGGTGCGTAAAGGAAGGTCATATTGTATCTGCTACTGATCTTCAGATTTTATTATTGTCTACAGAACAATAATATCTAAGGAATATTTTAATTACTTATGCAGCTTATTACAGTTGCTACCACCTCTGAATAGTGAAACACACACACAGTGGAAGTTATGTGGGTCTTTTGTTTATAATATAAACATATAAACATAGTTGCAATAGCAACTAATGCAAGTGCCACTATGATAAAATACTTTTGTCTGTAATTGTTGAAAGAATAGCTTTGCATGATCCTTTATTTGTGAAGGTGATGTTTACAGTACATCCTACAGCTTAATTCTCCTACTTGACCCTTGTAACCAGTGAGACAGTGACACCACCGTAGTCTTCTACATTGCAAAAAGAGTCAGAGAGTTCAGTTAGTAGTTGAAGTGCTCATTCTTGGGAGGTTTGGTCCAAAAAAAATCTAGGGGAAAAGATTAGTTCTATTTTAATATTTCAGAAAATTTCTGCAGAGCACTGCTCTGGCATGTAAAAGAAAATAATTTCTAAGTAACTGAGACTAAAAGAAAAAATAAATTGCTCCAGGAAAATATATTTTAGAATGCCTGTTCTGAAATTCTTAAGGAGAAACTGAGTGAAGCATTTTTAACTTGGGATTTCAGATGGTTTTTAATAGCCACTTGTAAATAGATTTGCCAAGGTTTCTTGATGAAAGTGAAGTACTGTTTGGCTCCACCACTTGAATTAGCAGCACTAGCTACAATTGATAGGAGTGAATCAAAGGAGGATTTACCATGTCCCTCTGCTTGTGTCCCACCCCACAAATAATGAGGTAACCACCTTCATAATCAACTCCTACCGCTTAGCGTTATCTGGAGGATAGAAACTTTTTTTTTTCTTTCCCAAGAACAATCAGAAGTCATGAAAGCTGGTTGTACTCCAGGGGTGTAAGCTTGTGGAGCTGTCGGAGGTAAACTTCCCTCCCTTCCAGTCCCTGTTCCCATTCCTCAGACAGAGAATTATAATCCCATAGGAAGTGAGCCCTTTAATTACAGTTTTTGTCCTGAACAAAGCATTTACGATGTGCTAGGCACTTACTGTGCTCTCTCATTACAGTTTCTCAGCAACTCTGTCAGGCAGATATTATTGAATACATTTTCAAAGAGGAAATAAAGACTTAATAATTTGCTCTGAGTCTGGCTTGTTGAAGAGCCAACACTGGAATCTAGGCTTTCATGATTTCAAAATCTTTCCACTAACCTTAACTATTAGAAGAGTGTAGGTACTGTAGGAGAAGGAAAATATGCTCATGAAAACCAGTATAGCATTGCTAGTGAAGCAGAGTAGACACACGTCTCAACTTACTGAGTCAGAGAAATATGAAAATAAAGGTTAATTGAAAGTAAGTAAAGTTTAGCACTGTGGAGCTCATTAAAGCAGAATTTGTCTAAGTTTTAACAAAGTAATGCTTTTTAATGTATCTTTTGATTTGAACATTGTGTTGTAAAAAAGTAACATGTTACTAGACCAAAGTAGGCTCTGAATAGTCTATTGTTGCTCCTCTATATGTGAAAAAAATGAAACAAGAAAGATTTAAGTAACTTTCAGCTTACTGGAAATAGAGAAGCCATGAGTTGATATTAATATATATATATGTCTTTTGAATATAGCAAAGTGGTATTATTGGTTGGATTCTAAGGTATAAACCTATCAAAACAACTGAAAAGTCTGAAATAGACCTAAAAATTAGTTACTAAAATGAAAATTCAAGATGATATATAAAATGGAGGTGAAGGTAATGCAGACCTATTGAAAAAAACTTCAATTTCAACATCATGAATATTTTTATTCAGAAGAATTTGAGAAAAAAGACATTGAGAAGTTGCAAAAGATGGTAGAGCCAAAGATAATGGAAACAGGAAAAATGTTAAGACTAGATTAAAATAAGTGTTTTAAAAAAGTAACAATATGAATATATTACATTCCTACTTGAATGTGAATAAGTTGGAAATTAAAAAAAAACCAATAAAAAGCATTTTAAAAATTAGGGGATATTATAACCTAGTATAATTTTCTGATAAGTTGAAGTTTTACCCTAATAGGCTTACTGGTGAACTTTTTTAAATATTCAAAGGATAAATAATATCTATGTATCAGAAAGATGATATGCCAATATTTGCATTTTGAGGCAAATTTGGCCTCAATACTAGAAGTCAAATATTTTGAAAAGGGTCTCATTCTGAACAGATGCAAAATGCAAAATACTAGGAAATACTATACAACATGAAAATTTACTATGACCCAGGGTTATAAGGTTGGTGTTCAATAGGATAATCATCAAATCTATATCAACAGAACAAAATAGTTAATAATCCAAAGTATTAACTACAGATAACTTTAAAAATATTAGTAAAATTTATCATTTATTTAATTATCTCTGGTAATGATTTTGTTGGTTTCTCATTGTGATAAGTAATACTTAAAATGAAGAACTAACATCATTCCTATTAGGAAAACATAGGAAACATTTCTCAAGCAGAAATTAAATAATCTTGGCACTGTTTTTATTTATATATGGTCGAAAAAGCTTGTCATTATAATAAAACCTTAATAAGCATTCATAAATGAGAAAGATAAGAAGAGAAAGCACAAATATTTTCTATTAACATGGTTTTTTAACTAGTGAAACCTATAGTATAAATGTACTGACAATAAAAGACTGATCCAGGAAGTTTTAAAGATTAATTTTAAAAATTAATCTTATTTCTAGATTCCAACAGTGATGAACTACAGTTTAAAATGTTTGTGTATTAATACATGCAAGTACTTAAAGTTACACAACTATATTGGGATAAATTAAGAAAGATGCTTATATAGAAGTGAGTTGAAGGAACCATATCCTAGTATAGTGGAAAACAAGTAAATAGGGACTCTGAAAAGCAAAGTTATAGTCCTCACTTTACTGTTTACCAGTTGTGTAATCTTGGGAAAATCATACCTGGCTTCCATTTCACCATATGTAAAATAGAAATAATGCTTCGCAGAATTATTGTGGAGATTAAATCAATGTAAATGAAATTGTGTCCAAAGGACTGATGTTAGTATGTAGATTTACCACATTTCCACTTACCATTAAACTGGATGTTTTATATAATTTGACAGAATTGTGATAAGTTAATTAGGAAAATAAACAAAGATATGTCTTTCTAACTTAGGAGAAAAAGGTGGAGTACACCTTTCTAAATACACTATGGTATTGAGTAGAAAGTTTAACACTAATAAACCAGTTGGAAAGAAATATATAATAACTACTGGAGGAAAGATTAGCTGGACATCAGTGTTAAAAAAGAAATTAGATCCACTTCACATATGATAACAGTTAGTTCCAGATGAACTAAAATGTTAAGTATAAAGGTAAAAATAAAGACTGTAATTCTTTTTTTTTTTTTTTACTCGGAACCCAAACGCTCTTCATAAAAGGAGAGCAGAGAGAGGGCGCTGCTTACCGCTGTTCACCTGCCCATGGACGGCGGCGGGGACTGGCACCACATGAGTCCCATTCTGCGTGACAGTTTTTACTGGAAGCTAGGCTGCAATTCTCATCCCAGTAATTGTGCAAAAGAAACTTTATGACAATGAAAATTACGGACAAGGTAGATGAGATGAACTAAGCAAAAGGAAAAATGTATACTAGATGGGAAGAAGACAAAAGAAGAGATGGGATAAAAGCTACTTGCTTTACACAAGGATAAAGTACTCAGTATTTTTTAAAAGGTAGATGCAAATCCATAAATATTTGTGTGCTTAGGTAGGCAAATTTGAGTCAAGTTCAAAGGAGAAGATGCAAATAAAAGTCAATTCTTAGAATGGTATTCAGATTTCCTAATATTAAGAATGCAAACTAAAGCAATTTTGACCTAGTTCATGCAATTATATTAACAAAAAATTTTAAAATTGCATGTATTCTAATACTAGTAGCATTATTAGTTTTTTTAAAGAGCTGTTCAGAAGAATATAATAAGAGCTCTTTAATCAATTTGTCTTTTGATAGATTTAACTCGCTCTGAATAGCATATGTCCAGGAAAATATTTTAAAAGAAGAAAAAAGTTATTTGTATAAAGATGTTTCTGGAGATCCATTTAGGTTTAAAAAAAAAAAGGCCTAGTAATCGGGAACTGGATAAATAAATTTTCATGTATTGCTGTCGCTCTCATAGACTGTTATATGGGCATTACATAATATTGATATTTGTAAACACCTTATGGAAAAATGTTTAAATGAGACTCAAAAACGTTAGAACATAAATTATTGTATTTACTGATTGTATTTGTGTAAAAATTTAGGTCTACATTGGAAAGAATCAGAAGAAAATACTGTAATTGGAGTTTAACATTAAGAGGTTCTTTTCTATACAATATTGATATGTGCAATGAAAAATAAAGGATTAATTGGTATAATGGTTTACTATTTGTTGAAATTTGATTTCTTAGAAACTTCTAAAATTCTTTAAATTAGAAAAATTTATATATATGTATAAGTATATATATTAGTATATTTTAATGTTAGTGTCAGAGATAATCTCCAAAAATAGAATGTTTTCCATCTCTTGGTGGGAAGGAATTCTTCGTCAAAATGGATGTTGTACCTTTTCTCAGTTGCCCAGCAGTAAAAAATAAGATATTCTGTGACTACACACACCCACATACACATGCACGCACATACACACACACATATGTATATGTATATACACATGTATAAATGTATACATGTATAAGTAAATATGTATAAATTATATATAAATAAATATATGTATTTTAATGGAAAGCACAGCACCAGAGGTGGGAATAATAGAAATGATATTAATGCATTCCAGGACATTAGCATGAAGACATAATTACTAATTAAAGTATGTCCCCAGATCGAAGAATATAATTACTTTGGGAGTGTTGGAGGCTAGGGAAATGAAGGTTGGATTTGGATTGGTAGAGGTGGCCAAGCCTGGGGAGTGCTTTCAGGGAGATTGATGCTAAGGACAAATCTCAGGGTACTGAGGATGCTGGCAGACCTCTTCTTGTCAGTATGAGAGATCCAAATCAAGATGATGTAATATGACAAACATCAGTGGAATATCAGCTGTGGATTATGAGTTTACATTATTCTAGGGATTAGAAATAGAAATATAAGCCAGGTCCTTTGTACCTGAGAACCAGTCTGTTAAAGGACATACATTTTATTTTATCTTAATGAGAATTTAAGACGTTTTCTGTCCATCATACTCCCCATTATAGCCACCTCCTCCCCCTGAAAAGAAAAACAAAAGAAATCTGATTTGTGATGCATAGAATTCCTTTAAAGGGGTGACAAGACCTTTTATTACACAGTCGGAAACATGTAGCTTAATACAAGTTAAAAGGTAGATCAGTTTATATTTTCTGAAATCTATTTCAGCTAACATTCTGTTAATCAAGAAGTCTTAAATTAATCAGAAGCTTTCTGTCTTGCCTCCACTGATGAGTGAAGAGAAGGTACAAGAGATTGGGTCCCCAAAACCCCAGGCACTGAGAGCTCAGGGAGTAGGAAGTATAAAGAAATGTAAGAGAAGCAGATCATAAAGTTTCAAAAGGGAAAAATTCTGGTTAGCACTAGTTTTACCTACGTTTGTTTCAGCAGGACAAATGGAAGTCATGCTTTTATTGCATTGAGGTAGTTGCTTCCTCTGAAGATTTTTAAATTTTTATTTCAGTATTTTCACTCTTTAAAGAGGTGTTATTTCCAGTATAGTTTTTACCCTTTTAACCAATAACCAAATGTATCCACAGTTCAGCAGCAGGGGACATACCTCCAGCTTTATGTTAGGCATGAACAAAGAAGCTGAGTGATTCAACTGAAAGAATTTGATTCTAACATGAACATTATGACAGCGGTTCTGCTACAGCATTTGTAGGAGTACTGCTTTTTCTCCTGACAACTACAGTTTTTATATGAACCTCAGGACCACTAAGGTAAGAAAGGGCAGGTATTTATATCCATTTTACAGATAAGACTCGGAGGAATTAAATGACTTGCCTGGACTCTTTCCTAGTAAGTATTCAGATCCATTAATTAGAATTGAAATGTAACTTCTGCTTTGCCTTCATCTCAAGTGGGTTATTTATTGCATGCAAGAGTGCATAGCACATAAATCACTATTTTAAAAGTGGTGGCCTCTACAATTTTAGAGTACATTTATTTTTCAACAAGTAAACGAACATCCTATAAATTACAATTTGTGTAATTAAAGGGAGCTGACCTGGATTGGAAGAGAGGGAGTTGATTATTTAAGCTTACACCTGAAATCAAAGCAAACCATTTCTTCTGGTTTTTATGTCAAGAGCTTCATTTCTATAATAAAGTATTTTTATTAATTTCTGTTGATGTCCCTTAATGTTGACATTTGCTTGTTGCTAAATATATATTTAACCCTTAATACACTCTGTGAACAACTTGAATGAAGGGATACACATCATCAGAAGAAAAGGAATGACTTTGGATTCAGAGATGCAGGGTTGACAAAGATAAAGACCTGTTTGTAGTTCAGTCAGAAAGACATCTTCAGGTATTTTGTAGTTTTAAATAAATAGGAATCCTAGGGGATATCAGTGCAGTGGGGTTTATGCCAATTATTTTTGTTATAGGTCATATAATTAAAGCCCTTGAATATCCCATTTATATTTGAGACTTTTATTTGATCCTTTATTTATTTATCCCTTATATTTAAAAATAAGAATGGAAATATTGTGAATTAGTATGGAGATGTATTAATTTTACATCATTATGTTAATTTTATTATATGTGTTAAGTTTAATTCATAGTTAAAGTTTTCGTACCAATTTCAGTATTTTTATTGCACATTATAAAGAAATTTTGGGGAGCTGACTGCTGAGGAAGAGCAGGGAATCTTTTTTTTTTAAGGCAATTAGTATGATTGTTAAGTTCTTAAAATTATTTAAGTGAAGTTTTAAAGAGATAAGAGCTGTATGTCCTTCTGTTCCTTTAACAATTCTATTTTATGACATTATTTGTAATGCCTTCTGTTGTTGAAATACAAATACCAACCAGGTGTTTATTAAAAGGAGAAGGCAAAAAACGAGAACAGTTTGTCGTGAGATTGTAATCTCCTTTAAAACAAAGTCTATGTGTGTTGTACCTGTGTATTCCCTACAGTGTCTTGCATTTCACAGGCATCCAAAACAGATTTGCTAAAAACTAAGACCAACGGGCAGCTTCCAGCACCTCTTTTCTTCCCTCTAGGTTCCAACTAAGGAACAGAGTACCACCGGGAACAATCTCTTGGACAATGTATCAAAACTGTGTTCCTGGGTCTTTGTATTATTAGTGCAGATGATTAGTTTTAGGATAAGCCTATGTGAGTTAATGAAACTACTTAAAAATAGGGAACATTTAAATAATCTATGGAATGTTTCATCTAATCCTTTTACTGATTTTCTCCCATCAAGACAGTGGTTCTCAAACCAGTGTGATTTTGCTCTTCAGGGGACATTTGACAACATCTGGAGACATTTTTGTTGTCAAAACTGAGAAGGGGGTGATATTGGCATCTAGTAGGTAGAGGGCAGGAGTTCTGGTAAACATCCTTTGAGGCACAAGACAGCTTCTCCACAGGGGTTATCCAGCTCAAAACGTCCGTAGTGCCAACTTGGAGAAAGTGCATTAGAGTAGAAGTCCAGCGTCTAGGCTGTTGAAGCTATTCAGTGTGGACATCTAGTGGCCAAAGGAGGAAATAACTTGGTTCTCAAACATTTGTACGTATAAATAGAATCAGATTTAAGCTCCAGAGTTCTTCCCACTCCTGTGCCTTCTGCTAACTTTCTACCGCCTAACACAGTTCTGAACCCAGATACTCAAATATTCAATAATAATAATAATGATACCATATATACTGCCATTTTAGTAACTACATTTATATTCTCATTATTGTGCACACACACACACACACACGCACACCGTGAGACAGCACTTTGGTACAATTATTCCTATTCTACTGGTGAGCAAATTGAGATTCAAAGAGTCATAGTAATTTTCCCTGAGTCATAGTAATTATGTATAGAAACTGGAATTGAATCCAGGACTTTGGCCTCAAAAACCTTCCTCTATCATAGAATTTATAGTATTGTTTCATAATTATTTATTTCTCTATTTATAATGCATCTTTGTTTTTCTGTTGCCTAGCACGGTGCCTGACATATTGTGTATGCATGTTTGTTGATAGATGTTGTAAGTAATGCATAATCTTCAAGTTGTATCACAAAGAACTTCACTGGACTCAAACTGATGCACAGAGTCAACATTTGAACACCTCTTTTTCATGTCCATGTTTTTCTAGACACTGTATTTTTGGTTTGGAAATATCTTCACCTTTGCCAACTTGATAAATCCCTCTCATTCATCAATTCAATTTTTTTTTCTTAAAATCTTCCCCAGTATTACCCCAGGCAGAGATAAGTACTTCGTTTATTGCATTCTCCAGCTCCCTAGACAGAGCTCTGTTTCAACACTTACCACATTCCTGTAATTATTTGCTTACACATCTGTCTTCTTCTCCAGAC